CTTACAATTTCAGGAGTCACTGTATGAGATACCACTGTCGCAGTATATCTGATAGCGTAGAGAAAGTTTTTTACACATATTAGTCACTATTTAAGGAAAGTATCTTTTCTTGGTTTAAATTCGATCAGTCGGATATGTTTCTAGTACCTATTGCTATCTTTAGTTCTGTACTCAACTGAGTTCTCTCGTTTGATCAAACCACAAGGATTGATGTTTGCCATCATGTGAGTGGTGCGAGACTAACAGTCGAATCAATTTTATTTTATCTATAAACTTATGAATTCTTCTTTTAGTAATTTGTTAAATCACTTTCTAGACTATGCGTGATAATGATTTGTAAGAAGAATGAAAACATCTTGTCTTAAAATTCTGTGAATTTATGTTTTAAAAATTAGTTATCTTACTGTATCAAGTTCAAGTGGTCGTCCAATTTGTTCAATAAGTTCTCGAGTACGTTTAATAATAGTTGAACCTGTTGTACATACAATACCACCCATTTCCATTCGATGCCAGCGTGCACCTAAATTAAACAAAAATAAAAATTTATTTAACAAAATATTTAAACATTTTTCAAAATAACCTTTTCGCATAACATAACCATAAAATGAATTAAGAATACATTTATGTGCAAGTTGTAATGAATCCTAAATATTAAAAATATGATTAATAAATAAGAAAATAAAAATTTAACTTACATAAATAACAATTAAATTATTACATCGTTTAACTTCATTAAGTTCATCTTTTTTTACTGCATTTGTTAAATTTTTTTTCCATTTTTTATGTAAACCTTTATATTCATAACGTCGATCACGAAATGCACGAACAGTATCAACATAAAATGAATTTTCACATTGACATACAGTTGTTTCTCGTGTTTCTTCACGTGTATGATTTACTTTTTTATATGCTTTACGACAATAATCAGCTAAACGTTTACGTTCAATTGATAATTGAGTTTCTTGTGGTAATTCATGAAATGATAGAGTATTATTATTATTATTAGCTAAAAAAAAAAAAACGAAAAACAAAATAAACTAACAAATGAACATAAAATTCGAACTTTTCTATTTAGTGAAAAAAATTTTTGTTTGTACATTCTACCTGTATTTATTCCTTTTTTTGATATATCTATAAATGTTTTTTTTTCAATTGATTGTCCATTAAATGAAAATCGTTCATTTTCAAGTTGTAATTGTATACGTTGTAATTCATTACGTGTTGCAGGAACATATGTACCACGCCATATCCAATCCATTTTACGTTGACAACGTGCATTTGGACGATTTAAATCACATTGTGCACATATTGTTGAATTAACAATAGCTGATGGTTGTAAACGATTTGTTAAAATAATATTTGGATACATAGCACCAACATCTAAATGATATATATTAGGATTTTCAAGACGATTAGGAACATTTTTTAAATGTTGTAATCGTTGTAGAATATCTTCTTTTATTTCAGATAAATTTTCTATTGAATCCATAGATAATTTTTCTTCAATTTCTATAGATTGTTGAAGTGTTCGATCAATATTATCAATTAAATATTGAACTGTTTCACTAAAATAAGAAAAAAAAAATATATAGATATTTGTTTTTTTATTTTTTAATTATTTTCTATGAATAGAAAAACTTACGGAACAATTTTAAATCGACATGGTATATCACTACGAAAAACACCTGATTCAAGTGCTTCAACACTTGCACCAACATAAGTTTCAGAAATAAGTAAATGACCATCATTTGTATATTTATACTGTTCTTCTTCATGTTTATTTGGAAAAATAACATTAGCCATAAATGCTTGTACCATTAATAATGTTTCACATAATGTTCCAGAACCTAAAATTTATCAAAATTACAAATATATTTTCTTCTTCAAAAGTTTATTTTTAATTATAAATTAATTTTAGAAATTTATATGCTCTAAGTTATAAAAAAAAAATTTCAGACGAAAGACATTCTAATTTTTTATTCATCATATTATTCAATGTCTTGTTCATGATTGAAATGGTAGTCTCAGTTACCACATGATAACTATCTTATAGACAGATACCCATAGGTGAATTCCTGTTTCCAAACTTTATTCTTCAATCTAGAGTATTGTAGAAATATCTATGGCGATGTTATCGTTATTATGGCTGCTAGTTTTTATTCTCAATAAACGTGTTAGAATTAGCGAGTTCTGTTAATCTCTCTAGATAATCTTTTCCAATCATCTATACAACTAACAAAATATCATATTTAGTTAAATTAACCTTTTCGAAGTACTTCATCTGGTCTCATTGGAATAATTGTTCCAAGTGCAAAAATAAATGTATGAACATATTTCATATATAAATAATATGTTGCTACAGCATCTGATACAGAATAATTTGATAATGTTTGTGGTTGTTCAACAGCTAAACGACACATATCTTCAGGATCAATTTCAATTGGATTATAACGTAATTTAGCTTTTGTTACAGCTTTAAGACCATGACTTCCAACAGGTAAATAACTATCACGTTTAACCCATTTAATACAATCCATATGTATACATGGACGTGATAAATAACAATCTTGTGAATCTTTTCGAAAACCAATTTCATTAAACATATTTAAACCATAAAATTGTGCACGTTGTTCAATAAATGGTATATCAAATGAATCACCATTATATGTTACTAATATATGAGGTTTAACATCAATAATATGATTAAAAAAACGTTTTAATAATTCAAATTCATTAGATTCATTAAAAACATGAAAAAGACCAGGATATTCTTTTTTTGGTGTATATTCAAAATCATCAATATCTTGGGATATTATTTCACGATTTATTATTAAATAACCTTGTGTATCAATCATATAAGATATCATCATAATCTATAATTAGAATTATTAAAAAAAAAAAATTATCTTATTATTATTATAAAAATTTTAGTACTTAAAGAGTTTCTCACAAATCATTCGACAAGAAAAAAAATCATAAAACTTTCAAGATAGATACATTTCGATAATATAAAGCAAAAATTTATCATAGACTTAAAATGATCCGAAATTGTATCGTCTACTCACAAAATTCTATTTTATTGATTTTAATAACTGGCAAAGAAGGTTTTTCTTAAATCTTTCAAATATCTAAAGCAATATTCTTTTAAAATATTTACCTGATCTGATGCAGCTGTAGGAAATTTTAATGGCATTTTCGTACATTCAATATCAAATGCAAAAATAATTGGTTCTGGTTGTTCAATTAAATCTGGTTTTAATACAAGTTGATTTTGTGATCCACTATTTGATTGACCACGAACACCATACCTAATTATAAAACAAAAAAAAAATCATTATTTGTCTATATTTAATTATAAATACAAACCAAAGGCCAACATTTATTTTTAAATCAATACAAACACGAATATGATATGGTACATCAAATTCACGTAATTCAATAATAGCATCAATTTGTTTTTCAGCAACATTTGCATTTGAAAGACCATCAATATTAAGATCACTACTTGGATTTGATGATGTTACTCGTTTTAATACAGCTAATTCAGGACGAGATTGTTGTTCTTTTTCACGTTCAATATTACGTTTAACAATTGGTTGTAATTCTTTACGAGCTTTCATTAAATCATCAATATCATGAAAACGAAGACGAATAAATGTACGTTGAATACCAGCAAGATGATTAGGAAGATCTAAATTTAAAGAATTAGATATTACAAAATTTGCGTCAATTAGAATAAAAAAAACAACAAATTTTGTTTTTCTTTTCATATCTCAATACCTAAATCTTCTTTTGCAATAAGTTCACATGATAAACATCGATTATGATATCGTTTTGATAAATAAGTATAAACATCATTTTCTCGTCCAAGTTTTGCTCCAACATAAAAATATGGTGGATATACAACAGATATTTTAAATCTATCACCTATATCACCAATAAAATAAAGATCAAGTGCTGATACAAATCTTCGACGTTCTTCATCAAATAATTCACATGGTTGTATATTATAAAGCCAACCAATACGTTCTTCAAATCCTGAATAACGTAAACATCCATATAATTGATCAATACGATCTGATTGATTTAAACGTTCAAGACGTTTATCAAATGATAGACCAAGACCAACTGATGGAACAATATCTTCAGTAAAATCATCTGTATTTGCAATATTTTCTTCAAATTCATCTTCTTCCATTATTTATCTGAAAATATTCTAAATCAATATTTCTTCTATTATATTTCCAAACTAAAAAGAAGATTTCAGAAAATTCTAAAGTTCAAATACATTGTCAAAGATACTGATTCACCTGCGTACAACTAACTAAATATAGTAATTTGTATAGAAGTTTTAAACACTTATATAACGTTTTGATAACATTCATGTACAGTCTCGGCATAAGAAACAAAAAACAGTAATCTACTAACGATCGGATAGAATTCAAAAATTTTGGGTATTGCTTTTTCTTTATACAAAAGACTTATTATATGTATTGTAGTCAACTGTTTCGAGATCAAAACAAATATAGAAGAATGTAGACGGTTCTTCTACAAACAAATTTATATTAATAAAAATATTCTCTTCAAAAAACAAGCATATAATCAATAGTCACGTGCAAAAGATTGAACAAAGAACCGCGCTATACTAATCCATAGAATATTCATTAACCAATAAACATCAAGCACTACCATCGCATTCGTAATTACCTTCGCAACAAAAAAAAATAATAATTTTTATTTTATTATTTATTAATTTTAGAAAGAAAAAAAAATAAAGAAATAAAATTTTTAATATTTTTCAAAAAAAAAGAAAACGTATTTTCTAATTAATATAAATGGTCAATACGAGTATAAAATAAAACAAAATATTTTCTTTTTTTTTTTTTTGAGGAAATCAATACATCACATAATATGTCACGTAATAATGATCATAAATATTGTTCTTTTCTTTTTTTTTTTCTCTTTTCATATTGTAGACAAAAATATTTAATTTGTGAATAATGGGAAAAAATAATGGAAATTCCGATGATGAAGATTTAGATGAAACTGAATTTATTGTTGAAAAAATTCTTGATAGAAAAGTTGTTAATGGTGAAGTTTATTATTTTTTAAAATGGAAAGGTTTTGATAACTCCGAAAATACATGGGTAATAGAAAAAAAAAAACAAAGAAATTATTTATTTTAATTGTATTTATTATTGTTGTTGTTTTTTTCATTCTATATAAGGAACCTGAAATGAATCTTGATTGTCCAGAATTAATTGCTGATTATCATAAACGAGCAAATAAAAAATCATCAGAAACAAATGAAATAACAACAGTAAAAGATTCAAATAAACGACCTTTACGAAATAGTCTTGATCAACAAGAATCAATAATTGATACATCAAAAAAAGTTAAACAAACAGAAGAATATGGTTATGCTAGAGGACTTGAAATTGAAAAAATTCTTGGTGCAACTGATGTCTATGGAGAATTAATGTTTTTGTAAATAGTTGAATTTAGATTTCTATAAAAAAATTTTTATCATATTTGTTTTTTGATTAGAATTAAATGGCAAGCAACTGATAAACCAGAATTAGTTCCTGCTCGAATTGGTTAGAATTTTTTTTGGTCTATATAAATATTATTAAAAACAATAAAAATTTTACTTTTTAGCTAATGTTAAAAGTCCTCAACATGTTATTCGTTTTTATGAAGATCGTTTAACATGGGCAAATACAGATGAAAATCCATTGGATAAACAGTAGTGAACTCGATAAAAGAGTTATTCAAATTGATTGTGATATATAGATTTTGGTGTTTTGTTTTGTTTTGTTTTTGTTTTTACATTAGTAGTTCTCGCAAAATAGAATTATCTTTTCATGATAGATGTTACGAAAAGATCAATAAGTTGAGTGCTTTGTTTGTTCTATTGATCTGTGTATGTGTATTAAAATAAATAAAAACATTTTTTTTTTTGTGGAATACAGTACATAAAAAAAAAAACTAATAAGACTTTGAAGTTTTCTAAAACAACTTAAAAATAATTTGTACCTAGACGAAAATCTCATTGACATTTAGATGTGAGAAGATGAAGACTAAAATTTCAAACATCAAATTTTCATTTGATATCTCTGAGAATGAATTCAAAAGCTAAAGACTTTTTCGATAAACAAGAGTATCTCATTTGTTTTTCGTTTCTTGTCAAAATTGCAACAACAAGTAGTTTTCGTGGGAAAAAAACAATATGATATGGAGAAGTCGTCTCGATATCACAAATGAAGATATCATATCTATTTTTTTCAGCATAAGTCTTTATCTAGAGTTTTGCTGTATTATTAAAAACGATAATTGATTCATCGGACACATATTCGATTCAGAAACTCAAATGGAATACTTTCACTTGTTATATAACGAGAGGATTCCTTCATATCGAGTTGGTTTTAATCAATAAAACTGCTTGTTCTTGCGCATAATTGATACAAGTTAAATACTCTCACTCATCAAGATCGAAACAGGAGCAAGTAAGACATTCAATAAATAGAATGTTTTGGAACTCATTTTTTGGGGAGTACAATCAAATATGTTCCTTCATGAATCTTGAATTTCTTGTTGATTTGATTCAGATAAAAGTTAATATAGACAGAAACATTTAATCACATTTCTTTTATTCATTTTACTTAAATAGTAAATTTCTTTATCATAATATTTACATCTAATTATCTTTATAAATATTATAGCGGAATCTATCGAATTCATTCTAGAGGCATATTTCATCGACTCTATTAAAACATGAATTTTTTGTTAGATTTAAAAAACAGTTCAAATCCATTTTTAAAATGTTGATTCATTAGATGAGTTGTAGCCATCATCCTAAATCTCAAAATGAATGAAAGTTTGATTTGAGAAGTTCCACAATCAAATTAAATGACTTTTTATAGCATTTGATAGTAATCCATTCGTAGAATATTTAAACAGAAGCCCAAATAATGTCACATGTCAAACAGTAATATCGATTTTTAAGTTCTTCTGTGAATATTAATTATTTTAATTTTTTTTTCAATATTTCAAATAATAGTTAATATGATGAAAGTCGTCCTCATTTTATTTCGCGAGTTAGAATCTAGTCGTACGCACCGACATATGTAGAAAGAAATTTTTGATGAAAAATTGACGATAGAAAAATTTTTTAATGAAAAAAAAATGAAAGAATAAAATCTTCTTTTACATCAATTAAGGCATGAACTTGACGCACACAGATGGTGTGCATTATGTGCAAATAAAGAATAATGCAACTGCTTTTTCTTTTATTCATTTTACCATTTAGTATATTCTTCATTCGGCATGTACATGTCCTTGATTACATTTTCTTATGTCCTCCAAATGAATGTTTGTCACACGTTGTAGTAGAGTTGCCTAGAGTAAAGAATTGAGTTAGGTTACCTTGCTTACTCTCAAACTTATCCGATTCGTCACTGGAGACAAGGTGAACAATATTAAAGATGGCAAATTTCATATCTTGATTCAGTTGATGATATTAATTTGTTTTTCATATACCGTTATCTTGAGTGTGTAGTAGACTTATTTATTTCTTCTTTTTGTAAAATATATATTTTGCATTTGTGACACTATCTCGAAGGATTGGAAACGTTATTTATGATTAGAACATCGATAGTTTTGAACTTATATGATATAATATTTGAAATATTAAGTTTTTATTGTTCTACGAAGAAGAATATAATAATGATCATTATATACAACCAAGAAAAATGAAACACGTGTTGAATCTAATAAAATTTTATATATTTGATTTATCATAATCAGATCTAAGAAAAGAAATGTTCTATCTAATCTTAAACCTATATTGTGTGCCATGGGCAATACGGATTTGTAATGATGCATATAACGGTGGCCTAAATGGAAACATAGGTCTTGAAAATTGCTCAAGGAAATACTAACAATCTTATCAAATGGTTGACTGAACAGCGTGATCACGTATTTATGAAAGCGATATGTTTTTAAATTTTCTACATTTTCTGCATGCGTTGCAAGCAGAATCACTAATAAAATAACTATAAGAATCAATTATTGAATATGTAAGTGAAATGATATATCATGGTACTTCTTTTGAATTTATACTTTGATTCGATTCCAAAACCAAAAAATAAAAGGGAAATTTATCTTCAGGGTTGCAAATTTAAAAGTAATATTTCAAGTGTCTTTATTTTTATTATGTTCTAAAATATATAGTGCAAGTATTCAGTAAGTATTTAAGCCCCCTCCCCTCCCTCTCAACAATTGATCGCAGCCCAGGACCGTTCAAATAGCATGAAATTTTCAGTCCGATATCCCGATGTTCGAAGGAGATACTGCCCAACCGACCATCCGATAGGCATTTCGACCCCTCGATTTTCCACCGTCGATGTCTTCTAAGATATCCATCGCCGAGCCCTCGACCCATCGGAAAATGGCAAACCCAGGGGTCGATTTGAAATTCCGATGGGCAGACCTCGTGCCCCAGATAGCACCACGATACATATTACGAAAACTTCGATCCTATGCTTCTGCTACCTATCAAGTTACTCACCATCTAGTCTTGGACCCATCGAAATTTCAAATCGACCCCTGGGTTTGCCATTTTCCGATGGGTCGAGGGCTCGGCGCACCCCTCGCACGTCTTTTTTAGCTCACTTGGGTGGTCAAACAAGAGTCAAAAATATGTCATTTGGCAACCCGAATTTTTCAGTCCAGATCCTTGTGATGTATTTAATTTTTTTTTTTTGAAATAGCATGTCAGAATTCAGAGCATCACAGAGCCGTTTTTTGTTTTAATTCTTACTTTTTAAGCGAAAAGAAGGAATCCCAACTTCAACGACTCAAAAAAATGGTGGTTTTTCTATAGAAATGTTTTCTTATACTATTAAAAAAAGCTTATTTAGAAAAAAAGGGCTCTGTGGTGCCCTGCGTCTTGACGTACTCTTTCAAGGAAAAAAAATTTGAAATACATAACACCAACTTAGATTGAGAAAAAACGAAAAAGATTTCCAGTTTTTTTCAAAAATGCTTTATTTTTCGAATAAGAAATATCGAAAATCTTCGAAAATTTTTGAAGAAAACGAGGCACCAAGTAAAAATTTTTGTCGTTCATGAGAGACTCGATCACACGAGATATCTTCCTCTGCATTTCGATCATTCTGACGAAAAGTGATGTTTTTTTTTTTTTGAGGGGTCTTAATCGAGAAACACATAAAATAATGAGTGTATATGACGTGATCAAAATTAGGATTCAGTCAAAATTAAAATTTCACTTTTTCGTCGACCTTCTTGAATTAGTATAATTACAAAAAAATATGTCTAGTTTTCAGATTTATGCGCTAAAAGTCGTAATAGATTCAGATCAACATTATTTCACGAATTTCTTACATCCTAGAAATATTTCCCCACGCCCTCCAAATCTTTTTGGTTTTTCCAAAATTTTGTTAATAAAAAATTGAAAAAGGGTGGGATGTGGATTGAATAAAAACTTCATTCTTATCCAAATCAAAAACTAAAGAGTCAAATAGGAGACAAAAATTACATCCACATCCTGTATTCAAGAATTACCCTTTCGGATAGATTATAAATATATTTTTTTTCTGTGTTAGTTATTTATTTCACTTTAGTTTTTGTTGTCGTCATCGATTGAATGTGGCAACCAGAATAACAAACTCTACACGCCAAGTCGACGCTCATATTCTCACGATAACAAAAAAGAAAACAATAAATACTGAATTATTATCAATTTAGAAGTTGAGTGTATTCAATTTCTCGTTGCAAGGACTTATTTAATGAAAATACGAAAAACGAACGCCATAGTTCAAGCGAAATTAAATCAGAAATATTTGCGCTCTATATAACTTTTTATTTAAACATTAATATTATTCTTATTGCATATTATAATATGTTCTTTAAAATTACAAATAACTTGATTTCAATAGGGGGATAGTCATGATTCTATCGTTTATGTTAATACTTTTTCTGATTGACTGCATTATGTATGTTAATTATTTTGATTTTAGAATCAGTGATTTCAGTAGTAACAATTTGAAATTGTTAACTTTTTTTCTTTTCAATTTGATCTCAATAAATCATTGAAATAATTTTTACTAATTTTTTTTTTCTTCTTATTTTTGATTTATTTGAAATTTCTCTCTCTCTCTGTCTGCTATATCAAATGCAGAAGACAATAAAGAACAAAAAAAAAATTCGTATAATAGACAAACAAAAAATATGTAGAACAACAACAACATCAATTAACAGTTTTATACATAACTGTTGCCATTATTGTTACTACAAATTATTGTTCATTTTATTTATCCCTACACACAGCAATAATAGTCATAATAATAATAATAATAATAGCAAATCGAGAACGTGTGCATGTGCGTGTGTGAGTAAAAAGAAAAATGAGCTTAAGATATGAACATATTCATTCGAATTGAATTGAATTAGAGAGGAAAAAGAAAAAGAAAAAAAAATACAAACCGCGTAAGTACAAGCAAAAAAAAAAGAAAAAATGAAAAAGAAAAAGAGAAAATTGCACAAATTGAGAATGAAACATGAACGTACATGAGAATGATTAATGAAGTCGATTTTGATTACTTTTTGCTGCTAATATTCGATCGATCATACTTTTAGCATATTTAACACGAGTAAACAATTGTTTTGAACAACCACATTGTTCTAATCCTGCTAAACGATATGTACGAATTTCACGATGTTCATTTAT